TAGTAGATGAAATGCATGTAGAATAAGGTAGTATACTTCACAAAATATTGCACCACACCAATTACTGTGGGAATTACTGTGGAATTGATGAATCTTGTGGAATTGGATTCCTCCCAAATTGCAAGTTTTTCTTTTCCCAGAATGCCCAAATCATATCTCAAAATAAAACAGGCATCTTAGACAAATATGTTTTCAGGAAATAACAGGATGTCATCAGAAACAACTGAAATTGAGTCTCACTTTGGAAAAGTTGAGACTAAAAGAAGATTTAGTATATTCCTGTTAGTGTGCCAGAGGGATGACAGCAGACATTTCCTTTACCATGTTGTAAGTTAGACAAGGCTGCTGCAGGAACCTGTACCAAATCTGAGTGATTCATGCAGGGTCTAAATCAGGGATGAGCTTATGCAGATTGTTAAACAGACAGATCTCAAAATTCTTCAAATTCTGCTTTGCCAATACTGCCAGAAAGGAGTCCATAGAGACAAATTATTTCCTATCATGGACGAGACATATCCATTAAACACAGATCTGCAGCTGGGGAGATCTGGAATCCTTTCTCTGAAAAAGCTTTTAGATTCATAGTCATAGACTCACGCAGCATGGAAACAGGCCCTTCAACCCAGTGTGTCTGTGCTGACCAACAAACACCAAACTACACTAATCACATTTACCTGCACTTGGTCCATAGCCTACTATGCCCTGGGAATTTAAGCACTCATTTTTGAGCCTACGCCAATTGAAAATTTCAACATTGAGATTGATAGGGTTTGTTACAGAAGACAATTATGAGGTATGAGTCTAAGATGTCGAGTTGGGATTGTGATATAAATCAACCATTATCTAATTCAGTGGTCAATCAATGGAGCTGAATGGCTGACTATTGTTTTTACAATTCCCTAGAGGACTGATTAACTCAGTTGATTAAAAAACTAGCCAGTTGTTCAGAACAATGTCAACAGCCAGGGTTTAATTCCCATTCTGACTGAGGCAGGCTTAAGAACTCCTACTTCATCCTGTCCCATGTTTGATGTGGAGTAATACCCCACTAGCCATATTACCAATTTGCTCTCTCTTTAAGAGAGAGTTGCTAAAAGTCCCTCATAGGATATGAAATACACAAAAACAAAATTTGCTGGAGAAACTCAGCAGGCCTGGCAATATCTATGGAAAGAAAATGGAATTAATGTTTTGGGTCCAGTTCTGAAGAAGGGCCACTGGAGTCTAAATATTAACTTTGTTTTCTCTCCTACAGATGCTACCTCACCTGCTGAGTTTCTTCAGCAATTTCTGTTTTTGTGCGTTTCAGATCTCCAGTATCGGTAGTTCTTTATTTTATTATCCATCATAGGCTATGGCTAATGACCTTCTTATCCCTCATTTTCTTTTAACTACAAAAAGCTACATACCTGTTTCAGGTTATAAAATCCTCTCTTGTCACAGTTTGGGATGTGAAATCTATAAAGTTCTTCATTAGTATGCTGTTGAATCAGAATGATCCTGTCAATGGCACGTTGCATTTCCTCCTGGCATGGACCCTGTGAAAAATCAATGCAGTATTGACATGATTTATTTTTTATCAGTTGCAATGTAAACTCCACAAAATTTATGGTAAAACACGAATGTAAATATCCTACATCAGTAACTCTTAGCTAATTCAAATACAACTAAAAATAATTCTTTTTTTAAGATTCATTCACAAGGTGAGGATGTCACTAGCTAGGCTAGCATTTAGTGGCCATTGTTAATTGCGTAGAGGGTAGCTAAGAGCTAACCAAATTGCTGTGGGTCAGAGTTACATATAGGCCAGACCAGGTAAGGGTGGCAATTTCCTTCCTTAAAGGACATTAGAGAACCAGATGGGTTTTTCCAACAATTGACAATTGAATCATGGTCACCATTAGACTCTTAATTCCAGATTTTGATTGCATTCAAATTCCACCATCTTCCATCGTAGGTTTCAAACCCAGGTCCCCAGAACATTACCTTGGTCTCTGGATTAACAGTGCAGCGATGACACCACTAGGCCATTGCCTTCCCATCATGTGAACTCATATAAAGCACGATAAAAATCCATGATTATAAACTGACTTTATTCATTCTTCTTATGCATGTTTTGTCAGCTGTGGCTTAGATGGTAGCAATTTCTCTTGTGGATTAGATGGTTGTGAGTTTAAGTCCACTTCGGGATTTGAGCACAAACTTTAGGTTGACAATCCAGTGCTACATTGTTGAAGCTACTGTCTCTTGGATGAACGTTAAATTTTGGCCTTGCCTGCCTTTTCAAATAAGTGCAAAAAATCACTTCTTGCTATCTAGAAGAAGAATGGGCAGTTAACCCCATTGTCTTGGCCAATATTTACCCTTAATTGACATGGCAAGACAAATTATGGTATAATTATTATTTTGCTGCTTCTTGGGCACAAATTGGTTGTTACTGTTCTTGCATGACAACAAGGACCAAATTTCAAAAGTACTTCATTGTTTATAAAGTACTTTGGGATGTTCTGAGGTCATGAAAGGCGTGAGATAAATGCAAGTTTTTATACTTATTTATAAACATTTCATAAAGGAATAAACACTCAATTATTCTATAATGACTATATCAAAATTATTTATCATTAGTAAGAGCATTATCAGGGCCACTTGCTGAGATATGTGTATCATCAACAGCCACGGATGAAGTGTCGGAAGTCGAGAGGTTAGCTAATGTGGTGCTATTATTTAGGAAAGGTTGTAAGGAAAAGCCAGGGAACTAAAGATCGGTGACCCTTAAGTCAGTAGTGGGAAATTTGTTGGAGGATATTCTGAAGACCAGGGTTTACATACATTTGGAAAGGCAAGGACAGATTAGGGATAGTCAACATGGCTTTTTGTGTAGGAAGTCATGTCTCACTAACTCAAATGAGTTGGATGTGAATATAGGAGGTATGGTCAGTAAATTTGCAAATGACACCAAACTGGGGTGTTGTTGACAGTGAAGAAGATTATCTTAGAGTCAACAGGACCTTGATCAGGTGGGCCAATGGGCTGAGGAGTGGCAGGTTTAGTTTAATTTAGATACATGTGAGGTGTTGCATTTTGGTAAGGCAAACAAGGCCAGGACTTATATTGTTGATGTTAGGGCCCTGGGGAGTGTTGCCTAACAATGAAACCTAGGGGTGGAGGTGCATAGCTTCTTGAAAGTGGAGTCACAGATAGACAGGATAGTGAAGATGGCATTTGGCACGTCTGCCTTCATTGGTCAGAACATTGAGTATATGAGTTGGAATGTCATGTTGTGGCTATGCAGGACATTGATGAGACCAACTTTAGAAAACAGTATACAATTCTGGCTGCCCTTCTTTAGGAAAGATGTTGTTAAATTTGAGAGGGAGAGGAGAAAATTTAAGAGGATGTTGTTGGCACTGGAAGGTTTGCGTTATAGGGAGAGGCTGAATAGGCTGGAGCATTTTTTCCCTGGAGCATCGGAGGCTGAGTAGTGACCTTATAAAGGTTTATAAAATTATGAATGGCATGGATAGGGTGAAAAGCCAAGGTCTTTTTCCTAGGGTAGGGAAGTTCAAAACTAGAAGGAATAGGTTTAAAGTGAGAGGGAAAGATTTAAAAAGGACCTGAAGGGTAAATTTTTCATGCAGAGTGTGGTGCATGTACAGAATGAGCTGCCAGAGAAGTGGTGGAGGCTGGTACAATTACAACTTTTAAAAGGAATGAGTATAACAGTTGGAAGGATTTAAAGGGATATGAACCAAATGCTGGCAAATGAAACTAGGTCAGATTGCGATATCTGGTCGGCATGGATGAGTTGGACCAAAAGGTCTGTTTCTGCGCTATATGTCTCTATGATTTTATAACATTCACAACCTGGAATACTTGGCTACTGATAAAATGGCAGGCTCTATTTAAAAGAGAACAAAATTGCATGCTTCAAATTTATGATAAATGGAACAAATTGATTTCAAGGAAGGAATCTGTATTTTTGTTCAGATGGTTATTACAAACCAGTTAAGTAGATTTTTAGAGATTGATGATCAACTAATTGCCATAGAATCACAGAATGGTTATAGCATCAGGGAATGTCATTCAGCCTGTCATGTCTGTTTGGATTCTCTGATAGCAATTTACCTAGTGCTACACAACTATTTTCCTTTCCAGCCTGCAAAATAGTTTGTTTTAATTTAACAATTCAATTCCCTTTTGAATGCCTTATTAAATTGAATATGCCTCCACTAGAGTCTCAGACCCTAACTGCTTGCTGTGTAGAAAAGTTTTCCATGTGCTGCCATTGTTTCTTTTTATCAAACATCTTAAGTCTGAGCCAACTGGTTTAAATTCATTGGCCAGTGGAAACAGCTTCTCCCTATCTACTCTGTTCAGGACCCCATAATTTTGAATAGTTTCCCAAATCCCCTCTCAACCTCCACATCTCAAAAGAGAACATTTCTCCTACCTATACATGTATTGATATCCTTGTCACCTGAATCATGAACAGCGATGGGCAAAAATGGACATAGTGCTCCAGTTAAGGTCAAATTAGAGTTTTAAATGGCGTTATCATAACTTCCTTGTTCTTGTGTTCTGTGCGTGAATTAACAAAGCCAAAGATACTGTATGCTGTACAAACTGCTCTCACAACCTGTCCTGCTACCTTCAGTTATGTATACACATATAGCCTCAGGTTGCTGTTCTCCTGCACCACCTTTAGAATTGCACCCTCTAAGTTATGTTTTTCTAGATGTTCTTCCTATTAAAATGAATCATTTCACACTTCTCTGCATATAATTTCATCTGCCATTTGTCCATCCATTCCACCTTTTGAATTTTAACACTATCTTCTTCCCAGTTCCGAGTGTCAATGTAAATTTGAAATTGTGCCTTGTACACTGAAGTCCTGGACATTAATACAGATCGCATTGAACAAGGGTGCTAATGCTGACCCCTTTGGAACTTCACTACAAGTCTGCCTCCTGTATGAAAAACAGCCTTTCACCATTACATTTTGTTGCCCTGCCAGTCAGCCAAATTTGTACCCATGTTGCTATTGTCTGTTTTATTACATAAGTTCTAACTTTGCTCGCAATTTTGCTGTGCAATAATTTATTAAATGTTTTTTGCAAGTCTGTGTACTCCACAACAATGGTATTACCCTCATCTCCCTTCTCTGTTGCCTCATCAAAATACTCTAGCAAGCCGTTAACCACATTTTTTACAAATCCTTGCTGGCTTTCGTGAATGAACCTATGATTAACTGAATGGATATTCATTTTGTCCTGACAGTTTCTCCACCATCAAGGTTAAGCTGGCTGGTGTACAGTTGCTGAGCTGTCTTCTTGTCGTTATTTGTTGGTAGGTTGTGGTGGTGGGTTTTCTGCCTGAAACCACTGTAAACCTTGATTGTGTTAGATAGACTCCAGGATTCTGATGTAGCAATGATGAAGATAAGGTGATATCTCAGACTCAGGGAAATTGGAGATTACAATACTCCCACCATCTTACTGCTTGTGTAAAAGTAGAAACTGTTGTCAAATTAAGTTTGAGAATTTGCTGCAATGTATTCGGTAGGTAGCTCGTACAACTGAGAGGCAGATGACTTTCTTCTGTGCTGTTATGACTCTCGATCTCTAACAGCTACAGTTTGTTGGCGATACTTGAGATATAAATTGAGTTGGCAGAGGTGTCAATTTTGAGAACTCTCTCCTGAATAGTGTTGAGCTTCATGAATGTTATTGCCTTGCAGCTGTAATCGTTTACTGAGTAGGGAGTAGTCCATCAACATTCTGACCTGGATATTGTAAAGGATGGGGAGATTTTGCGAGGTCAGTAGGTGAACCATTTATTGCAGAATATCCAGTCTCTGTTCTTCTATTAAAGGTGTTAAAATGACTAGTTCAGTTCAGCTGCTGGCCAATGTTGACCCCAAGTACGATAGGGTTCTTGGTGATGGCAGTGCCTGAAGATCATGGGAGTGATAGGGACTTTACTTGTTGCAGATGCCCATTGCCTAGCAGCTATTAGTCATAAATGTTAGCTTCAATTTGTCAGCCCAAACCTGGATGTCGTCTAGGTCCTGCTTTTATCCCCAGTGATATCAATTTTACTGCATGTCTGGATGAAACCTATGCTGAGGTTCTGAAATGATATGTCAAGATTACTAATTAATTGAAACTACCAGCTTTATAACCTTTGCTTTCTATAGTTTTGACCCAAAAGTAATATGTCTCAGGAAAAGTTTGCAAACATAGTCTCAGTTTAAAGATATCAAGTGTTTTTCTAAGCGATCAATAAGGGTAATGCTACTTATGTACTGATGTGACTGATCTCTAGCCTTTAGCCCTCAGTTTCTGAGAACAGTTGGGAAGAAAGGTATGTAGACATACGTCAATAGTGTTGACATTATCTACACATTCCTGATAATTTATCATTAGAGAAAAAGAATTAAAAGAAATGGATCTTCTGGGGAAGCAGTAGCTTGCTGAATCACATATTAAATACGAATGGAAAGCGACACCACTAAATCCTTAACTCTGCACTAATAGTTTCTGATCTTGACTTAGTCATTCAAAAGGCAATGAGTGGCAGGCAGATACTCAGTCATAATGAGCTACGTCAGGCCACCATCCTGTATCTCACAGTGAGGAATTGAAGGATGCCCATGACAGAGATCTGAGACCTGAGAGCAAATGATCCATTCGCTCTCATAGCCACCGAATAATGTTTGTGACAAGAAAACGTTTGTTATGCAGAAAAATTACCTCAAAAACATGCAATTGGAAAACATTAACAACAGAATGAAATTATGAATGAATATTACTAGATACTATTGATATGCTGAAGGAATTTGCTCATGATGTACTGAATACATATTTTCCATCTATGAGCTAGGTTTTTATAAAAGTAAATAATTTTTGTGCAAATTCATTTCCTTCTTGCAAGACACAATACAAGTGGCAACATTTTGGTTGCTGCATAAAGAGTTTGGACTTGCTGTCTGCCAACAAAACTGGCATAGCAGATAAACTCTCTGTTACAAAAAAAAACCCATTGCTCAGCAGTTTTGGTTATACACCTAGGTGACAATTTAAACGTCTATCCCTCATAATCTGTGCAGCGAGTAGAGACCAAAGTGGTGAGCGATGAGTCTACAATTTCATGATGATGTGAAAAAAGATTTCAGTAGTGGTGGGGACATGGTAAGCACTGAGGTATTTTTGATTTCAGGCACTAAGTATCTGGACGAAGCACTCCAAACTCAACTAATTTGTGCTTCAGTACTGAGTATAGACCTTCTTATTCTTCCAGTGAGATGTACCTGAACTTTTCTCAGAAAAACATATTGCACCATTCTGACATTTTCCAACTGTGGTACAAAGCTTATGACCTGTCTGACTGAGGATACAAATGGTTGCTACTTTACAAGCAGCTATTAGATTGTGTGTTAAAGATGCCTCACAAAATACTTATACAGCTCGCAGATAGAGTGATTGTCAACCATTAGACTGCACTGTATTGAAAATCACATCCCAGAGATGAAACAAGGTCTAATTTCGTAGACCACCAGGCTCACTGTCGTGAAAGCTTGAACAGTCTGAATGGCAACAATGGATCTAATTTCTGAAGAAGGGTCTAGGCCCGAAACGTCAGCTTTCCTGCTCCTCTGATGCTGCTTGGCCTGCTGTGTTCATCCAGCTCTACACCTTGTTATTTCAATGGATCTAACCAGCTGTATAGTTCTCAGAAAATTCCTTCATCAAAAATCCCTCCTACAGATCCTGGCAAATAGCCACTTGATGAAGGAGAAAAACACCAATCTCACTCCACTGATGTCAAATCACAGCCTATGTGCAGTAGTAAGTATTTAACTCAGTGATGTTTGTTTAAGAATGGATTAGAAGCTGCACTTTCTTTAATGTAACAGGATGCAAAATGTTTAGCAGCTACTACTGATTAGAAAAGGTGCTGTGTTAAAATAAGGATCTTTCGACTGTTATTAGTGGAACTAGACTATTTCACTGTCTCTTAACTGAAATACTTCTCTCCTGTTCTACAAACTGGAATTCTTCAATTAAGTAATTATCTGAAAGGAAAAGAAAAAAACTGCTCAAAAATAAGAAAATATCAGAGTCCATTCTCTTTTCAGTATCACTGCATTTATTGAAGGAAAATAATTAAATATGATTGAGGCATCAAAGGCTGTTCATCCTGTAATGTTTAATAAAGTTTAATAAAGAAAGCAATTATGCCTCCATGTGGTCATTTTAAGGCATTGCGTTGGATAGATTGGTACATTATGTTAATTTTATACATTTGTTGCTTCCATAGTTAATTTAACTGGATCATAGAAAACATTTTAAACAAATAATTCATTCAGGATTTTTGCTTCTTTTCCCTCTACTTTAGTCTTCCTTTTTCTCAATCTGTTTTCTACCTTTCTGATTCACAGTATTAAATGTCTGTGTGGCTGAGAGAGTCATTGCATTTTAAAGCACAGATGGAGGCCCTTTGGCCCATCATGTCCATGCCAGTCATCAAGCACCTGTCTACTGTAATCCTTTTTTCCAGCACCTAGCCATAGCTTTGTATGTTGTAGTGTTTCAAGTGTTCATCTAAAATCTTCTGAAATGTTGTGAGGGTTCTCGCTTCTCCCACCCTTTCAGGCAGTGAGTTCCTAATGCCCTCATACTCTCTAGATCAACAAAAATTCCTCAGAGCTTCTCTAAGCCTCCAGCCCTCAAATCTGTGCACCCTGCTTACTGAACCCTGTGTTAAGGAAAATAGTTACTTCAAACCGTTTTCCCTCAGCCTTCTTTGCTCTAAGAAAAACAACCTGGGTTTAGTCAAATTGTTGGATGATCTTCTATCTTCTCTCATTTTCCTCATCCTTCAGCTTTGAAAAGAGAGCAAGAGCTAAGGGAACAGAAATGTCCAAATAATGATTTCAGCAAAGCCTCCTCCTTAAGCAGACATCAAAACACACAGAGTGGCAAGTTTGCTCAATACAAAGGCACATAGGTAAGGAAGAGATTCATTCAAACAGTCAATTTTAACATATACAAACTCATGTAGGTTGTAGACGGCTTCCATTGCTTAAGAACATGAATAATGGTAGCAGAACAAATACATGTCAAAGTTCAATTATAGCTAATAACCAAGTGTACAGGAAGTTGATAAAGTTTGTGGTTAGTCAGATTCAGACTGAGTTCACCTATTAAATACAGGCTAGGAATGACTAAAGATACTATCAACATTATGAAGAGCTCATTTTGGTGATGGATGACATCTTGATATAGAAAACATCTGATGACATAATGGAATGAATCAAAGCATCAGTCTAGCAAATAAGGAAGGGCATCCCATTTAACGAACCAAAACATTGCAAAAGCTTCAGTTACTGTTATGTCGTTCATGTGAATCAAATCCTGTCCCATCTACCTTCTAAACTAGAAGCTGAGAAAATGTGCACAGACTCCATATTTGCTGATGCGGACAGAGTGGCAGCATACCATAACTAAGCAAGTTGCACAGTAATGGTGTAAGTTCTGTTCTTTGATAGCGGGCTTACAGCATTTAAGTTTAATTCTTCATATTTATTTATAGGTTTTACAGTGCTTTCTCACAATAATACAATCAAATGAATATTTAATGATTAATATTTGAGTCCTTGACTTTTCATTTATGGTACACTGATCCTTTGAGTTACTGTTGCATCTAGCTAAGCTGTAAGAGACAGTGTCCATACAGTTGGACATACCATAATGTTATGCAGATAACAAAAACATGATATGTGACTTACTTATGGCAGTTATGACATAAAACTGAACACAAGGAGACAAATGACAGCTAACACTGCTCTCGGTAGCTGAGGCCCCACCTCAGTTGAAAATGATCAAGACAAGGCTGACCAATTAATTATGGAATGATTGCATTAATTTAGCTATTCACTGTTTTATCATTTTAAGAATCATTTTTAAACATGACTAAGGAGGTTACCAGAATACTCCACTGTTGCAAGTCTTTAAGGTTGTCCACAATGCCAATTCCCATTAGCCTGGGGATTGTGTCTTAGAAATGCAAAATGTCACTGAAAAATTAGCTTTTTGATGTTTAGTACCAACAAAGAAATATAGAAAGACTTACAGCGCTAATGAAACCATTTGATTTATCATGACCTGGATGACTGAGTCTAATCTCACTTCCCCTCCCTTGATCCATATACCTCTAGAATATAGCATCTCCAGTATAAATCTGAGTGTTTTATGAAATGTGAAGCACTTTTAGACAGTGAGGACCAGACATCACCAATCTCTCAATGAAAAGATTTCTGTTCAACTCCCCTCTAATCCTTTGATCAGTTCTATGCACTTGGTTATTGGTTTCTTTGATATGGAAATGGGTCTTTCCCGTTGATGCTATTTCGGCCTCTCATACCTTTGTACCATTCAATTCAATCTTTTCTCAGCCTTCTCTTTTTCAGATATAAAAACTCCAGGCAATCTAATCTTTCCTCACAGATAAAATTCTTCAGGAAATAAAATTCTCCACTCTTGGCAATATCCTCATAAATAATCTTTGCATCTTCTCTAGTGCAGTTGCATCCTTTTTATATATGCAGCGACCAGAACAGTTCTGACAATTCTTTAACTGTCATCCAGTGTTTCGTATAGATAACATAGCCTCCCCTACTCCACTACTCTTGGCCTTGCCCAATAAAGTAAGTATCCTGCCTGCTTTCTTAACCACAATTTCTTGGGTGTTGTAATTCTACAAAATGTTACTGACCAGTATGTTCAAATTCACACGATGTTATTGAATTATGATTACTTCAGAGGTAGTCCCACAATTACTTAGCAATTTGAAGTAGTGAATGACTGGGCCTTATGGACCAGCAAGTTCAAGAATCAATACTATATTTTGTTCTCACTTCCTAGTCCAATCCACAGCAAAGTAGAGAACAATAATTGGCCTCCCTGCCCTTGGTTTCAGTGTGGAAAAGTTCCTAGTGTTCTAGTTCATAATTGTTAACGAGCTGCTGGAAAATTTAAATAAGGGTAAATAACTGATGAGGATATGATCATTTTAGCTGTGTTCTGTGCTGTGATTAAATAGACCACTCTCTCAGCAAATACCATTAGAACCATTGCCCAAAGTGAAACAGTGTCATTGAGAGAAAAGAGGAAATAGAGGAGAAAGTCTTTTTTTTAAGAAAGGAAAATAAGTGTAACCAGAGTTAATATTGTCTAGAATGTTATTTTGCATGAACAAGCTGCTGATATATTAAGTTAACCATCATGCAATGGAAAAGAAAGCCCAAGACACATGTTTATTATTGTTAGACTGAAAGTAATTTAATCAATAATTTTAACCAAATTCTAAGGAATTCGTGAGTTTTACCTGCTGCTCTCTTGGCTTTGGTTTGTAGTTAGTTCGTGCCCTCATGCCCATCCGTGCATCAGCTGAATTTAGCGTTTCAAACAGTCTGTCTTGTATGACATGCCCAGGAGCTGGTACAAATCTGAAGTTGGTGCCTGCTAACCGATCTTGGGTACCTTCTGTACCACCAGGACTAGGATTCACAGTTTCCATTTCAGATGCTTGAGTTTCTGAAAATGGCAGTTTTCACAGAACAATGACTTTTTCAAAACAAAAAGCAATATCAACAAAACTGCAGCTCGAAGATACATTAGAAAGATTGACCCTACTTAAAGAGTAAATGATAGCTCTACCTGAACAGGCAGGTAGATCTCCAAATAGTGCATCATTCAACAAGTGGTACATTTGACAATGTAATACTCTTCAGGAGGAATGAATTGGAATTATATATAGAGTGTTAGAAATGTACATATTGAATACAATTTCCAGTGCAGAAACAGTCCTTCAGCCCAAATGGGCTATACTAAAGTTAACACTCCACATAATCCATTGACAATATATTAATTTGAAATACAATAGCTGTGATAGAAGCATAAGAAAAAGAGTAGTTAGTTTAACCCGAGATAGTAGGAACTGCTGATGCTGGAGAATCCGAGACAACAAGGTGCAGAGCTGGATGAACACAGCAGGCCAAGCAGCATCATAGGAGCAGGAAGGCTGACGTTTCAGGCCTAGACCCTTCATCAGAAATGATGAAGGG